GATATGATAAATCTACTTTTTGAGATAAGTTTGCATAAATTATGGAAAATATCTTTGACTTGGTACAAACTTATATATATATATATATGTATATATAACTAGGTTGGTTTGATTAGGAGGAAAACCCTAACTAAATTATGTTTAGGAACCTAATTAAGGCCTCTAAACTTCTACTATTACATTGGATTCAAACTAATCCAAAACATCTCATTCAATTCCAATCAAAGGGCATTTTGGACCTTTCGTACCAATTTTTCTATAAAAGCAACTCCTCCCTTAGCATTTTACATACAAGAATACACACGCACACACACATACACACTATATTTGGCTGAGAGAAAGAGATGGAGGAGGGTGAGCTTGGTGGAAGATAAGAGAGGAAGAGAAGTTTGCTAGTAATTCCAACAAGCCTCAAGTAAGTCACAACACAACTCTCTCTTATTTTTCCTTTCAAATACATGTTGGAATTTATGATTTTTGTAGGCTTATTTTGGGCCAACTTTGAGCCCAATTTTGAGTGGGTCCCAAACACCTTTTGGGATAGGTCTAAAGAGATAACGTGTTCATTGCCGCATGACAAGTCACACGGTGAAGATGGTTTGTCAAAACCATTTATGAGTGAATGAGAAGTTGACGTCATTTTTTGGGTTTGTGGAATGAACAATTAAAGAATAAAATATAGGTTTCCTTGTAAGGCTTGTCCCACATTGAAATTTTAAGAGAGCTTGTGTATGTATATAAGCTGTAGGTGACAACACTTGGGTTGGGCCCCAAGGGGCACCCCAAGTTTGTAGAAGAGAGGAGTTATGGACAAAGTGAACCTTGGCTTAAACCACCACACACGCGCACTATCGTCTGTTCGTCTATGCCAGGAGTGGGTGTGGGTCGGGTCGGTTCTAATATTAATTTTTTTCAAATTCTTGTGGGAAAATTATTTGAATTTCTAAACGAAATTAATTTAATTTTTTGCACCAATGTTTTCTGTCCAAACAGTTCCTTGTTCAGTCCATGTCCAGCAGTTATGAACAGTTATAAACCTGCCCAGACAGATTCAAAACTGGTAGCACTGAACAAATTCAGGTATTGTTCAAACAGATTTGAAACTGCTACAGTTATCTGTTCAAATTTTGAACTACACTTGTTCATTTCTTTTATACTTGTTCGGACAGATTTGAAGGGTCACCTTTTTGCCTATAAAAAGAGATCATTTCTAGCAGATTTGGTAATCCGAAATTCTTCTTCTTTCCTTCCTTTGTGTTCTCTTGTATTGATTTTCCTCATACTCAGTTTTAGGAAATTTTTTGAAAGTGTAGAACACAGGTTCTAGTTTGCCAGTATAAATTATTTAAAGTACTACTACAATTTGTGAAGATCATTGTATCTTGAGAGATAGATGTCATTTATCCATAAGTATCGAAACGGGGCAAAACTGTCTTAAGGATAGAGTGTCACACACTCGACTTGATCTATTTTGTATTTTTCATTTCGGTAAATAAATTCGATAAGTAATTTATTTTATTTGTTTGATTTGGTTTCAACTTATTTATTTTACACAGAATTGTTCCAACAACACATGCTCTTGGAAGTTTTAAAAATTCATTTTAGATGTGTTTTGATGGTATTCTTGTGTTAAAAATGAAAAGAGTTGAGTCATGATTTTATCCTTCTTGTATTTCTCTTAATCGGTATAAGGCTACATTTTTCTATATCAATCTCTCAAAATTTTCCAAAGGCACACCTTCACCTTAAATTTCTGAGTTTAACACATATTATTTATTATGTTTTCACCACAAGAAAAGTGGAAAATTTTCCCTAGTTGCTCTTTTCTCACCAATTTTCTTATTTCAAGAACTATGCTAGAAAAATCTATTTTACAGCCAACTTTCAAAAATTCTAGAAAACAGTAGAAAAATATCATGGACCTCAATTTTATGTCAAAATCTTCCTCAATGAGTTATCTTTCAAATAAAATTGGTTTTATTGAAAAAGAGTGAGCGGTTTGTGAGAAAATCCAATTTTCGTAATGGTCGACGAATCTGGATAGAGCTGGAGTATTTCTAAAATAACTAAAAATATGGAAAAACTATTCCATTTTCGAAAAATGTTCTGAAGACTAGATAAAATTCTCTACGAATCATAGGAAGGTCGGATTTGGGAAAATTTTGAAATAGTTCTTTTAATCTTGATCTTTAAGTGACTCTGAATCTGAAAATTCTGTTTACATTGATGTTTTGAGCTCTTGACTTTATGAATGTGCTTACTTATAATCATGTCTTGGTATGATATTATACATGTCATGGTTATTTATTTTTTTGTCCTTTGATGATGTTTACACTTATGCAAATTTATTTTTCGTCTCACTCGTACTAACTAATCACAACGATTAATCTAACGGAAAACTTAATGGGATGGCTAATGTGGTTTCAATCACCCGATTATTATTATGAGAATAATTTATTGGTTAGTGGGATGCGTTTCCTTTGGTAAGTTAAATCTTGTGCAAGTAGTTGTTTCGCAACCCTTGAATGAAGCGGTTGTATTTGGACCCTAGGTAGTTTGATGTAAGGAGGAATTTGGGCAAGGCCCATCATTACCGTCTCCTTTGAGGGTCTGTGGTTGGCCCTACGTGGTATATAATCATTGGTAGGCATTCGAGATAAGGTCTGTAACAAAGCAGCAAAAGAAGAGGCATACCGAATAATCCGCGTCCAATTCTTGGAGTTGGGAGGACAAAATCTCATTGGGAGATTTCTAGATTACTAACAACTAACCATATAATCTGTGCTATGAACTTAAATGCCATGATCATGTCCTCTGTTTTCTTTGTAAATGCTGTTGTGTATTGAACTGGGAAAAATGGATGGGGTGTGTGTGCGTTTATTAGGCATTCAAAGCTCATGGCGTTTCATGCCAGGTATTGAAAACTATTAGACTGGTCTAAGGCAAAGCTGAAGTATTTGAAGACGTATGGCTATCTTATGAGGGTTAGGAACTAGTTATGTAAGCGTGTTTTGAGATTTCAAGTGATAAATCACATGTTGTATTTAAGACATGATTTTTAATTATTATATATCTATACATATCTTTTATACTACCTATTCATTTTTTTTTTTTTATCGTCGACTTATGTAGACCTTGTGTTAATATCTTGTTAAGATCTGTCAAAAGGGTAGCTTTGCTATCTAATGTGGTTGGACTTTGAAGAAAGGCTATATTGACTCTTCCGACTTTCTTGGGATCTTACTTGGTTATTAATCAAATGATTCATTAGTGACGTTTCCTGTTTTGTAATCTTAGAAAAACCCTATATTTATTTGTTAATATATTATTTAATGTTCCCAATTTTTGGGGCGCCACATTACGTTTTATAATCATTAGTGCTCTCGTTCCTTAGAAGTCTCACATTATAGGACTCTTATCATTTCTAAGATATCACTTATCAAAGACTCCTCCAATTTGGAATAGGATTAACTGTCTAAAGAGTCTTGACCTATCCAAACAGAGAGTTTGTCATCATTTAGGACTCTAGTCCCTCATTCAAACGTCTCAGATTCATATGTGGTCTGGCCACATCTCGGCCAATCAGAATTGCCCACGTGGCATCTCAGCTAACCACCTAGGCCATGTGGACAACTCAAAATTATGTCCTTACAATTGGCCCCTAGGTTCTATTACCTTGGTCATATTGAGGTGATAGAACCTACATTGTCTGATCTCTCAACATGTTAGTTACCCAACGTATTGGAGGGTGCTCTTCTGACCGAGATCATGACTCGTCGTTGCCGACATGTTGATCTTCCATGATGTTGGCCATCTATTCTGACTAAGTTCCCATAGATTACGCCAAGTTGTGAGTGTTGAATTTTGACTTCACAACCAAATCAGATCTCTTCGCTAAGATCTTGGGAACTAAGTTGTAGAGCACGTACAAGAATAGAAAAGCCCAACATCTGCACACAAGAAGACAACAGACCGGTGGCTTAGAGACACTCCAACGATTAAGTCAGTCAACAATCTCTCAAAGATATTGACACAAGCGAACAACTATCAAGTAAAGCGTACCTTAGATCCACGGGGGTGCCTATCTTCTTATAATCATCAATGCCTTCGTCCCTTAGAAGTTTCATCTCATAGGACTCTTATCTTTTCTAGGATATCACTTATCAAATAACTCTTTCAAGAGGCATCACCTATCGAAACAGAGAGCCCATCATCATCTAAGACTCTAGTAGTTCCTCATTCAAACATCTTGGATACATGTGTAGTCTGACTAACACCACAACCAATCAAAATCACCCACGTGACACCTCAACTAACTACCTAGGTCACATGGATAATCCAAAATTATGCCTCCACAATTGCCTCTAGGTCTTATGAACTCGATTATATTGAGGTGGTGGGACCTATAATGTCCGATGTCCTAATATGTTGGCTGCACAACATGCTGTAGGTTGCTCTTCCGACCAAGATCATGACTCGTCGTCGCCGATACATTCATCATGCATGATGTTGGCCATTATTTTCAACTAAATTTCTACAGATGGTGCGAAATTGTGGGTATTAAATTTTAACCTCATAACTAAATCGGATCTCTTACTTGAGATTTTGGGAAACTAAACCGTAAAGCACGTGCAAGAATAGAGATGGCCGACACTTACGCACCAGGAAACAAGAAGGTCGGTGGCTCGTCTTTCTGAGCAAGGATCCTCTAGAGTTATTTTTTTCCGAAAGTTTCCTAGAGTGGTGCATTGTGTGGTTGAGATTTAATGACAAGTCACATCAATTTTTCAGTATTAAATCTTAACCACATAATACACCACTTTAAAAAATTAAAAAAAAAAACACTCTAGAGAATCCTTGGTGCTTCCCTCCGTAGTACTTCGACTCGGTTTTGGTAGAAAAGCAAGTGGATGCTTGCCACACTTATTCAATATATATGCCTCAAAATCAAAAAACGACACCGTGTTGGGGAGTCCCCGCAATACACGGTTTGGTAAAATCAGATCCCACAAAAACACAAAGCATCATCATCAGTCTCAGAAGTGCAAACAAGCAGAGCAAAGCGAGAGATATGCCGTCGCCGAAACCCTTCGCGACAGCCGCAGGGATGCTCCGGAGCCGCCTGAGCCCTTCCATCCGCACCCGCAGCGGCGGCGGAGACGGACCCAGTCGCTGGGCCAGCCCCGGGCACCAGGAGCGTCCCAACGGCTACCTCTTCAACCGTACTCCTCCGCCTCCTGGCCAATCGAGGAAGTGGGAGGACTGGGAGCTTCCTTGCTACATCACCAGCTTCCTCACCATCGTCATCCTCGGTGTCGGCCTCAACGCCAAGCCCGATCTCACCATCGAGACCTGGGCTCACCAGAAAGCCCTCGAGCGCCTCGAAGCTCAGCAATTGGTCCTCTCTCCGTCTTCCGATGACTCCGACTAATCTCCCATCTTCGGTACGTTTCAATTTGGCTCTCTGCCCTCTTTTGCCCCTTCTCTCTTCTCTCGGGATCAAATTAGGGTTTTGAAATGATGTCTTGATATGGGTTTGGTGGTTGTAGTTGAAATAAGATCTCAACTCTTGAAGTAGAATTTCCCTTTTCTTTTCCTTTTTTTTGTCTAAATAGCTATGTTATTTTCAATTTTACCTGTTAATTTGAATTTTCCTCATAAAGTTTGTGGATTTCTTAACTCAATTATATGCTTCTTTTGTTACTCACTAGTTGCCGATTTCCTAGTATTAGCGGTTTAATTGGATTGCCTCATTGTGAATCTTTGTTTATTTTTGGCAATCAGCCAATCACTATTATTTTGACCTAGTGTGGTCACATACTCTTCTAATCAACATATAATCAGTCATTCTCTATCTCGATGCTTTTACGATTACATTGGGAATTAGAGATTTGATCATAGGGTGCTTATGCTGTCTCCAAACCACAATTATGCTAATGAGTGTATTATAAATAAGGCTTGGACCTGTGTGGGACACTAATTTCTTAATGGTTAGCATGTGTGACTCTTGTGAATGAGAATTGTATATTGTCTTGCTACTGTGAATGCATATAACACGTTATCTTGCTTTTCTTGGAGATGTCTACAATGACATTTGTGGTGCAAATGTACTCAGTGGATCCATGTAAATGTTCCAGTTTTTTTGGTTTCATGTTCTTGTGATACATGGCGCACAACTAAGAAGTGTGCGTGGAAACACACGACAAATTATCACATGAATCATCGCATGACATTAACATGGTGACTGGGCATTCTTCAAAGTAGAAGGACATGATGCATAGGTACACAACCATCAAGATAAAGTAATTATCATTTCAGTTGATGGGCTTGTAGTAACTAGTAAGAAAGTAAGATTGAATATTTATCTCCTTTTGTAGAAAGTATGATCCTTAGTTGCAAGAATCGTTCAATTACCTGGCGTTTTTCTGCAAGAAACCTGATTATGCGTTACTCAGAAAGAATTGTGTAAGAATCGTGATTTTGTTGAGTGAGAATTGTGTTTCTGTATGAGATGGAATCGTCATTGAAAATCAAAACTCCATAAGCGAAATAAATAAATAAAAACATGGTTCTGAAGTAGATTTTGGGTATGGATTTGAAGCACATACAAAAAAATAGCAAAAACTAAATAACTATAAGATTAAAATATTACTAACAGAATTTGGGAATAGATCTGAAGCTGATCATCATCTGCGAGTGGCACTTCCATGAACAGAAAAAGTTTGCGAAAATAGTTGATGCATACATACATCCATTACACCATAATCAACGAGGCTCTGGGTGTGCCATTGGTGATGCAATTGTTGGTGCTGATGATGGAAAATGTTTGGTGTGGAGAGAAGAGATAGATATTGGGCTATTGATTGGGGCAACAAAAAGAGGTTTGGGAAGATGATGATGAAGAAGAAGATGAAGGGATTGATTGGGTGTGCCGTTGATAGTAGAAGTATCTGGATCCTGGAAGTAGTGGTTTCTTTGAATTGGGGGGCTCCTAGCATGAAGAGTTTTTAGGTTCCCAAGGCACTAAGGGTTTGTATTTTGTAGCAAAAGATTGGGGCTCCATTTAGTTTGAATTTTCAAATAAAGTTTTGACAGCCGACCCCATTTGATGGGACTTAAGGTAAGGCTTGGTTTATTTATATTTTGGTAGTAACTCTACTTTTTTTTCATTTATGACATATATATGTCGATTAAAAATTAATTAATTTTTTTTTATAAAATTAAAAATATTATCAATAAAAATAATATATAAGCGCTTCCAATCTATGACTTTTCTAGGTGGCTATACTTCCGCTTTTGCTTCCGTTTTGTGCAAGTTGCAATTAAGGTTTAATTGGGTAATTGATATTACGTTGAATTTCTCATCTTGGACTAACGTGCCCTTGCTTGGTGCAATGAGAAAGCTTGGTCTGTTAAATTTGAGAATGCGTTTTTGTGCTAAATGGATGACATTTATGCAAATATTACATGATGAAACTTACACTAGGGCAAAGTATGGTTAGTTTCATGGTAGGTTTAAGGTGAGGAAATATTTTCATGTTGATAATTTAGGCCTCATTTGGCAACATTTAATTTTAGACTAAAAGTCAAAACGTCACTAAAAAAAATCAAAAAGTAAACAACCTATACCAAAAAGTTAAAGATTCTCTTTTCTTTTTACTTTTTACATATCTTTTCGTAAAAAGGCAAAAAGTTATTCCAAGCATACTAGTTTATTTACCTCATATTTTAGTTAAAAAATTAAAAAAATTACTAAAATAGCTTGTTCCCAAACGATACCTAAATATCTTTAACTGTAGAAGAAAATAACAGAGGTTTTAAGGTTGGAAAGGGTTGTAATTAGCTTAGATTTAAAAGCTGCATCTTGCTGGATCTTTAATTTGTATGATGGATATTTCAAAACAATGCAAATTTTTAGGATTTTGGTTTGGAGTTGAAGGCCAAAAAAGGTCCAGGTTGATTTAGGCTTAGCCATGAAATGTTTTGGCTGCTAAAATTTGCTTGTTTGGGGTTATGAAGAGTAAATCAAAGACAATTTTTTGTTTTCTTCGGATTGAGAAGAAGAGTTTTCCTTTGCAAGAGTCTAGCAAATTCACACAAACTCAACTTAAATATCAAAATATTAAACTCCATCTTCATATGAATATTACATCACATGTATATATAGGGAAAGTTAAACTTGGTGGCCAAATATTTGACTTTGAACACCAAACACTGTGGACACCTCTTATATCGCCACATGTCAATGTCATGGTCTCGTGGACAATGAGGTGTGCCTTACACGAGTACACATTAGCATAAGGTAATCTGTCAGCCTGCAAGGGACACATATACAGTCCCACATGTTCAGTGCTGGATTAGACAAAGATTAAATGACTTACAACGTATTGTACATGTCTAAGTTGTAAGACATCCTCTTTTAATGCTAGCTAACGTAAAATTCCATGGAAATTAGGAGTCTAGCCCAATTTATAGTCACGGAAGGCTTACTGCATGCCTCATTACCGTTACAGTAGTTTAAGAGACTTTAAGAAGAGAGTCAATGGCGGTTATATATATTTATATTAGGGAGTTTTGGCAAATTCTCCTATGCTAACTCAACAAAGATCATAGAGAAACATTGACAATATCTAATACATCTTAGTGACTGTAAATTAGTGATTACTATATTGGGTCTAGTGGTGTTTGGATTAATCAATTGGGTTTGTTGTGGAACCTATTCTCAATCCCTTAGTTACTAATATATATTGGTTATTTCTTGAAATTTTTAAAGATTTATTTTTATGTAAAACAAATAGAAATCAATGTGAGGTGTGAATCATGGAGAATATCTATGCATATTACTTCTCATGTAGGTTGAGCATGGGGTGAACAAATTTATTGTTATAACAAACTTCAAAGAGGATAAATAGGCTGTGAATAAACATTTGTCTTTCTCATTGCTTATTGAGTCTAGGTCACATTTTCATGCAAAAACAGGCCTTTACAAGTTACTAGATTTTACCTCCAACTCCACATAAATCAGTAAATGTGCTAACTCTCCTTATGATTATGTTATTCTTAGTTTACGTTTACCATAGAAGGTAAAACGTGGTTGGTCCAGTGTTTTGTTTGATGTGAGTAGTGAAAATATTGGAAAGAAAGATGGGAAGAATAAATATCATCTCTTCGGTAAGGAAGCTATCTTACTCTTTTCCTACACCACTCTTACAAAGTTTTTTGGTTCAACTTGTTTGGTGTTATATTAATTTTGAAAATTTGGAAGCACCCCTCTATTGTGACGTTTAATCAATGCTCTCCTTCAATTTAATATATATTGTTTTTTCATGCAATGAAACCCTTGTACCAAAATAGTCTCATTTGCTACCTTTTGGTGTGGTAAGTCTTAAATTTTTGTACATTTCTTTATTCGTGCACAATGACATGACATGACTATCTTAAACTTAACTACGGATATGGATGTGAATAGAACCATTTGGAGGAAATGGATCCATGTTGCCAACCTGCAGTTATTGGGAGAAAGGCTTGTTGAGTTGAGCTGAATATGCTTTAGTGTGTATTCTTTGTCTTTAAAACTTTCAATGAAGGATATTTCTTCATAATTTTTTTGTGGAATTTACATTCATTATTGTTGCCCGTTAAAGACATGATATTAGCAAATAGTTTACATAGATCTCTCTCTCTCTCTCTCTCTCTCTTTCTCTCTCTCCATATATATAAATATATCATGGGACCTGTACTTCTGATTTCTTAATTTAAGCAAAAGAATAAGAAGGATTCAATTTTGACACTCACCATTGTCATAGTAATTTGACTCTCACTTTCTAGTTGGTCTCACAGTTGTATTATACATGTCATTGATCTTGGATATAATTGTTTTGAAATTCTCCCCCCCCCCCTTCTCTCTCTCCTCTCTCTCTCTCTAAGTAGAGTTGTTGCCGCTTCTAATGCTTGTTAATTTTTATAAACATACACAAATTGTCATTCTCGATTTTCTCCTTTCGTTCATAGTAATATTGTTCGCTAGAATGCATTTCTTTGTCGCACACATTCGTTTCAATTGGTCTCCTTGCCATCGTTCTTGTCTTCATCATTGTTAATTTGTATCTAATATGAAAAAAAAAAACTGTTGGCCATATCTAATTTTCTTCTCTTTTGGAATAACTGTTAGGCTGTAATTACCTTATTTTGGCTTAGGATTACCTATCTTTTAAGGTAACATTAATTCTTGACTGCTCATATACCCAATCAAATCTTTATTTTTGGGCTAATTGATAATTCAATCGAAGTCATTTAAGTCATTTTTTGTTTAATTTAACCATAATCTAACTGTCGTGTAACTTATCAAAAAGAAAAAATCTAATTGTAGTTGAACACTGATCGAGGAAAGAGCAGTGAAGTTGCATAAGCTTTCTCTATAACCTGCCAGTATTTGAACAAGAAAAATTTGACACTCATTTGAATTTATCTAGAACTTACATCTGGAAGCAAGTGTCATGCTCTACACATCTCAACTTATGGAGACTCTATTCTAGCTATTTTATGTTTGTGACGGGAAACCGCTTGTGTCTTTGACCTTTATTTAGGGGCTCATCTTCTGTCAGTTCATAGGTTGTCATGTCCATTCTCAATCCTTGCTATTAATCTCATTTTCTTGCCTTTTTTTGGCACACTTGACGTTGAAAAATGTAATGATTTCTTGGTGTCTAT